CGGACAGGCTTAAGGGTTGAGGCACAGAGTGAGAGTTTTTTCCAAAGAGCTCTGTGGGTGGTAGACCCCCCTCCCCATCTTAGTTGTTGTGGGAGACCAAACGTCTGGGAAGAAAAGGGTCTTCGGATCTTTTTCTTTCTTTCTTTTTTTGGGGGGGTTTTCCATATGTTACATGATATCTTTTGTCTCCTTACTTTACATAACTCGTTAAATTCCCCCCTCCCTCCCTCTACCCCTTAGTTATTGGTCCTTTATTCCCAGCCAGGGCACAAAGTCTGAATCTTCCACCGAATGTCCTGTCTTCCTTCCAATATTATCCACTTTAGATAGGTCTTCCATCTATTTTTGATTTCTTCGGCTTTAGCCTCCCATGTGGTCTTCTGGCGTAATTTCTCCATGATGTCAGACTGCACAAAATCAAACAGATAAGTGTGCCAGGTATCTACTGTCCATTTCTTATCTTTCCAGCCCAGAGCTATCACTGCCTTGCCTGCTAACACCATAGCTTTAAGTATAGCCTGGGCTTCCTTGTTAACTGCCTTCGGATCTTAAATGTGGATTCGGTGGCCACTTTTACACTCAAGTTTAACTGAGATGTGGCATTTTCATAATATCTACAGTCCAGTTCATCTCTGTAGGGCATCCAAAACAGGGTGTGGAAGGCTTCCTTGGTATGCAGAAGAGTTTGAGAATTAAAAGAAAATGATACTTCCTCCCACACCCCAAAACCGCCCCAGCAGCGGGGCCTGAGTATGCCTCCTTACCCTGCCCCCCTACGAGGAGCCATGGAAGACACAGTCTAGTGGGCGCTACTCCTTATGAAGAAGGCAGGAATCTTCTTTTGTTTGTCTGCAGGACGCAAAGGGTTAAATTGACAGAGCTATTCGCTAGACAGGCCTAGAAAAGGGGGGGGGGGTGTCTGCTTCTGAATTGCGGAAAAGAACAGGAAGAGCTTCAGATATGCCGCCCGAGGGGAAAGCACTGCAGCCAGATCCTGGAAGGTTTTCTTCAAAGTAAGTCATTGGGGGATACGAGTTTAGATCGTGGAAGGGAGGAAGGCTGGGAATTATTCTCAGCCGTGGTTGTCACAGGGTTGCCAACTCCCGGATAGCAAATCTGGGGGAGGGTGCATTCTGGGAAAGGACGGGGCGGGGGGGGGGCGCTGACTGAGGTATAATGTTATAGAGTCCCCCGCTCCAAAGCAAACATTGGATCCAGGGGAACTGGTCTGTCTGCTGGAGGTCGGTAGTGATTCCGGGGGAACTTCAGGCCCCACCTGGAGGTTGACAACCGTGTTAGGGACCAGTTTTGCTTTATAGGGTAAGTGGGGTTTTTTGGGGGGGAGGGCGATTGTCAGTGTCTTTCCGTACAAGAATAGTTAAATAAATGAAACTGACATTCTGTTGCTGTTCAATTTTAATCTACAAAGTTTAAACCTTTTTTGGTTCAGTGAATAAAAAAGGGCGGGGGGGGGGACTCCTGCCTGCACTGAAATCAACCACAGCCGCTTCCTACGACCTCGATGTGTTCCCCATGTGGTGGGCTGCGAGCCCCGCAGAGGAGAGGAAATTTTTTTAAAACTCTGTTGCCAAGCAACGCCATGGGTGCTCATGGAAACACCACCAGTGCCCCGCCAATCACAGCACGAGGTGACTCCCCTCTGACAGGCAGAGAGGGGCGGAGCATGCTAATATGGCCACACCCCCTGGTATCAGTCTGCTGCCTCCCATATACCCAAGGGGTCAGGAGGAATAAATGGCAGATGGGCATTGATCACTGCGAGGATAGTGGTGTGAACTACAGGACCACTAGAGTAATTAGACCAGAGAGCACCATGGATGTGGGTTTGAGTACCCACCTGCAGCACTGTTTTGCAAAGTGGACGCACAGGGACAGAGCAAGGCTTCCGTGCCCCATCACTGCAGAGCTCATTTGGCAGAGGCAACAATAACACAATGCCAAATTCTCTCTTTTGCTCTGGGGTTTGGGTGGGAGAGACAACATATTTTGCCAGGCAAGAGAGGTGCAGGTCCCCAGTCAACACAACAGGGAGAAACACAAGGGCACAGTCTTAGAAGGTGTGGGTTCAGGTCCTGCTAACGGGTATGCCAGCAAGAATACAAAACTTGCCTTTTGATAGTTAAAAAGGTAAAGGTTCCCTTGCTCGAAAGCCAGTCGAGTCCGACCCTAGGGTTGCGGTGCTCATCTCCGTTTCAAAGCCGAAGAGCCAGCGCTGTCCGAAGACGTTTTCCATGGTCATGTGGCCAGCATGACTAAACACCAAGGCACACGGGACGCTGTTACCTTCCCACCAAAGTGGTCCCTATTTATCTACTTGCAATTTCTTGCTTTCGAACTACTAGGTTGGCAGGAGCTGGAACTGCAGACGAGAGCTCACTCAGTCATGCGGCACCCGGGTCTCGAACTGCTGAACTACCGACCTTCCACAGCCTGCAGTTCAGCGTCTTAACCACTTGAGCCACCGCAGCTCCACTTTTGATAGTTAGGAGGCCCAAAAAGGAATCCCAGATGGGATAAGATGACATGAATCTTTCATGCTGATTGGCTGGCCCGCATGCCAAACATTTTGGCTGGTCTCTCCCCCCCGCTCTACTGTCTCCCTGATGTGGGGTTGCCAATGTCCAGATAGAGCCTGGAGATCACCTGGAATTATAACGGATCTCCAGAGAGAGTGGACTCTGTGCCATTGTACCCTGCCTTCCCATGGCTCCACCCCCAAATGTCCAGGAATTTCCCAACGCAGAGTTGGCAGCCCTGTGCATTCGGCAGGGTTTGTTGCCTCGCTCAACTGCAACCCACCCCAGCAGCTTCAGGAAGTCGACTGAGCACTGTTCTGTGCACAAAACACACACCTGACATAATCCCGCTCCGTGCCCGCATCAGATTTACGCTTGCCCTGCACCAGCAGTGCCGTTGTGTGGCTTTGGGTGGGCAATATTTCTGCATATGCTTAGTAGCCATCCCAAGCTGTTCAAGGGCTGGGCTTAGGCTTGTTCCCAAGGCTGGCTAGACTCTGGGAAATGGTCCTTCTGTCAGGGTGAGCTGGAATACAGGGCCAGAAGAAAACTGTGATTCTTCTCTGGGTGAAAGAATTGTCATATTTGTCCTGCTTCTTCAAGGGAGAAAAAGTTTCGAGGGATACTGTTTACCTGGGTTGGTTCTCCTTGGAAGGAGAAAGCCCTGGAACCTTCTGGTGTGTTGGTAAAGGTAAAGGTTCCCTTGCTCGAAAGCCAGTCGAATCCGACTCTAGGGTTGCAGTGCTCATCTCTGTTTCAAAGCCGAAGAGCCAGCACTGTCCGAAGACGTTTCCGTGGTCATGTGGCCGGCATGACTAAACACCAAGGCGCACGGAACGCTGTTACCTTCCCACCGAAGTGGTACCTATTTATCTACTTGCAATTTCTTGCTTTCGAACTGCTAGGTTGGCAGGAGCTGGAACTAGAGACAGGAGCTCACTCCATCATGCGGCACCCGGGTCTCGAACTGCTGAACTACTGACCTTCCACAGCCTGCAGTTCAGCATCTTAACCACTTGAGCCACCGCAGTTCCCGGTGTCTTGGTACTATTCACTATATACAATATACTGGCAGAGCAGAGCACGGGTGGAAGCCAGAGGGATTCCCACAGAGTAGCAGGTCCACTACCCCACAGCAGATGCCCAGAGGGAGCATTCCTGAGCCCCAAGATTCTTCGCCAAACCTCAGCAAAAGCTTGTTTGCTTTTCTCTCCCAATCCCGGCTTCTCGTTCTTCACACAGACACATTCCTGCCCCTTCCTGGGTGCTTGCGTGGAAATATTGCCTAATACTTCTGGCCTACTTGGGAAGTTGAAAAGTATGCAGACGGAGAGTGATTTCAGCAAAGCATACTTTATTCAGTCAGGAACAAGACACTTTGGCCGGCTCGCAGGCCGGCTTATGTTCCCTCAGAAACCACCACCACAACACATACCCCACTCCGGATAGGCTATTTACAGTAACCGAGAGACCCATTGGCCTCACGGTCTGGGACCTAGCCCTTGGATTGGGCCGGCTGGGATCCTCCTGGCCCATTGTCTTTAGGTGGGAAGCTTGAGGTTTTGTCCCTGGACAAGTCCGGACATGCCCGGCCCTGTCAGGCTGGATACACTACAGGGGTATATAAGGGACCACTAGTCCCTCTTGTCCTTTGGGGCCTCTGGGTTTACCTTAAGAACTAGCCTCTAGGACAGACTGCCCCACAGTAATCAAAGGCCAAGCTTGTAACATCCATAAAGAGCGAAGCAGTGAACTTTCCCGAAGAACTTTTCCAAAGCATGCCAAAGGCATATCTAAAATAGTTTGGTATGTGATATAACAATACGACATTAACCCTGGTCTACAAACTACAAGAAGGACTTTTGTTTTGATCCACCAGTGTAATTCTCATGAGTCTCCTGAGCATATGAAGGTTTGTGATGTTCAGTGGTGTATCTCCATTCTCTTTTTATTTTCCTTGCGAAATGTTGCTGCCTGTCCGCCCCTCCCCCCGCCCCAAGGGAGAAGCCTGTCTTCATAGCCAAGTGAGTAAATGCATCTTTTTAACAGGTGGAGGTGACCCAGGAGAAAGGGACGGAGATGGAAGAGCAGGACCCAAGAAGACTGGGAACTGCCAAGACAACGACGAAAGGCCCCCTTCCCATTCAGCCTGTGACTGGTGTTGAATTATGGGAAAGTCCTGTGCCAGAGTTCCTGGATCAGGACACCGTGAACTCAGATGAATATTGCCGATGCTTCCGTCAGTTCTGCTACTGTGAGGCTGATGGGCCCCGAGAGGTCTGCAGCTGGCTTCATGGGCTTTGTAAACAGTGGCTGAAGCCAGGGAGGAACACCAAGAAGCAGATCCTGGACCTGGTGATCCTGGAGCAGTTCCTGGCCATCCTGCCCCAGGAAATGCAGTGCTGGGTCAGAGAATGTGGACCGGAGAGCACTTCCCAGGCAGTGGCCCTGGCCGAAGGTTTCCTCCTGAGTCAGGCAGAGGAGAAGAGGCAGGCAGAGCAGGTGAGGAGGTTTCCTCCAGGTATGTCCAGTTCATGCAACAATATCTGAACTTACCCTAAAGCTTCCTCACCAGATACTTAACAAGGGTTGGAAGAAAACCTGACCTGCCCCCATGGCTGAAGTAGATCTGCTGGTCGATGCAGAGTCTTGGAGTGGTGTAGGATCTAAGCCTGTTCCCATCTCTTACGTGTCTCCCTTGCGGCTTTTTCAGATGTGGCAGCCATCTGTGAAGGTAGAAGCTGACTTCCATGAGGCAGAAATAGCTCTGCTGGAGGAAAGACAGAGGGAGCATGCCCAAGATGCCCTGTCACGTGGTAAGGACTCCCCATCCTGAATAGGATTGGAGCACATAGTGAAGTTGTTGGCTAAAAGTTTTAGGACAGGAGAAATAGGCTATACAACACAGAGTTAACTGTGGCAACTAACTTAGATTGCTTGAGGGGGGAATTAGACAAATTTGTGGAGGACAGGTGTCTTTTTATTCACATGAATTAAAATGTTCCTATCTCACCTTCCTTCAGTGAGAGAGACTCCAGGTGGTTCCAAAATGGGAAGGTAGACATATCTGGCCCCGGTTATTCAACACAGTGAGCAAACTGAACCTCCATGTTTTAGGGCAGCGTACCTCTGAAAACCAGTAGCTGGGGGCCAATAATAGTGGGGAAATGTGGGTTCTCACCACAGCCCAGAAGATTATTGGCTGCTCTCTCCCGTTCCTGGGAATTGTATAGTTCTTGATGCTTGAAAAAAGCAAAGAACATTCTGCAGGATTTGTCACACCCTGAACACTCCCTGTTTGAACTGCTGCCTTCGGGTAGAAGATATAGGACAATTAAAACAAGGACAAACAGATTAAAAAATAGTTTTTATTCGAGAGCTATTATTGCTTTAAATGCTGTATGAAATTGGAATTTGGGTGACATTGGTGGTTTAAGTTGCAATGTGAACCTTAAGGGAGTTATGGGATGGTTGTGAATGGTTGTGTGAGTGTATATGAGTATGGCTGTAGATCACTGAAATGATTATTATTATTATTATTATTATGTGCTTTTGCTTGAAGGCTTTCCAGGGGCATCTGGCAGGCCACTGTGGGAAACGGGATGCTGGAGTAGGGATGCCAGACTGTGGCCTGGCACCCCTGGGAACTTTGGGGGTGGGGCAGGGGGTAGATGTGATGTCACATTGATGTTGCATCTGGCTGAAAGCCTGGACGTGGTGTCAGCACATTAGCAGACACTCTGGAAACTTCTTGGTATTACTGTAGAGTTTCCAGAGCGTCAGCTGATGCGCTGATGTCACATCCAGATTGTTAACTGGCTGTCATGTGATGTCATTTCCTCCCTCCTGTATTTCTCCAATTCCTTCCGGACCATGTGGGAAGGTCCAGCTGGCAGAGGAATGACATGCCTGGACTAAGCAGCCCTTGGCACTGATCCAGCAGGGATAGGTAAAGGTAAAGGTTCCCTTGCTCGAAAGCCAGCCGAGTCCGACTCTAGGGTTGCGGTGCTCATCTCCGTTTCAAAAGCGAAGAGCCAGCGCTGTCCGAAGACGTTTCCGTGGTCACGTGGCTGACATGGCTAAACACCAAGGCGCACGGAACGCTGTTACCTTCCCACCGAACTGGTACCTATTTATCTACTTGCAATTTCCTGCTTTCGAATACTGTCAAGTTTTTGAGATCACAGGGCACATTTCAAGTATCACAGAAGTCTGAAAATGTGCCGGCAGCATTTATAACCCCCTGAGGCTCACAACCCTGGGAACAAGGGTGCATGAAGCAGGGTTCAAACAAGCAAAAGAAATGGGGAGTCTAGGCTAACATTCTTCCTTCCGATTTTCTGCCCCTCGCAGTCAGTGAAGAGACAGTGTTGACTCATCGTCTTTCCAATGGAGTGGAAATGGCTGCGGCACCCCAAGTCCAGGTAGGGAGGATGAGCATGGCGCAGGCTGGGTTCCCCCTCCTTTCTCAGGGCAGCTTTTGCTCCTGCAGTTGCAGTCGCTGCTCAGGGGCCTGGGCAAGAGAGGCTCTGAACACCACTCCTTTCAAAAGTGCTACATTGCTTAGTCCCCTTCCAGTCTGGGTTTAGGCCTGGTTACGAGACTGAAACAGAGCTGGTTGTCCCGATGGACGGCTTGCAAAGAGGGAGTGTGACTCTGTTGATCCTCCCAGATCTCTCAGCATCTTTCGATAGCCTCCATCATGGTATCCTTCTGGACCCCCTATCTGGGCTAGAACTGGGAGGCACCATTCTGCGGTGGTTCCAGTCCTACCTGGAGGATAGGTTTAAGAAGGGGGTGCTGGGGGACTGCTTCTGGGCCTTTGGGGTCCCACAAGGCTCCATCTTTATTATTTTATTTATTTATTTCATTCCATTTCTATCCCGCCCTCCCCGCACGCAGGCTCAGGGCAGCTTACAAGGCACAAAGTGCAATGAAAACAAACAGATTAAAACAACTGAAGCTAAAAATGCACAACTAACAGGATACACGAAAGACTGAAATTACACACTCCCCATTGCATAGCAGGAGGAGGTCAGAAGATCAAAAGGGGGGCCCGCCATGGGCCGCGATGTTCCAGTTACTCCATCAGCCCAACCCGGCGGTCCTGCTCCGCAGTTATGCGGTGGTGGTAGTGGCGGCTCCTACTCAAAAGCCTGGCGGAAGAGCTCCGTCTTGCAGGCCCTGCAGAACTGTAAAAGGTCCCGCAGAGCCCTGATCTCCTCCGGGAGCTCCATTCCACCAGGTAGGAGCCGCCACCGAAAAGGACCTGGCCCTCGTTGTAGCTAGCCTGGCCTCTTTAGGGCCCGGGGTCACTAGGTCACTTTCCCCCTGTGCCCCTTAGTATCTTTAATGTCTACATGAAACTGCTGGGTAAGGTCATCCAGTATGGGGGTGACACTCAGCTCTGTCTTGCACTCCCAGCTGATCTCAGGAAGGCTGTAGAAAACCCTGAACTGATACCTGGAGGCAGTTTTTGGAAGGCCTCAGCCTGAGATCCCCTGAAGACCTTCTGCTAGTCTGAGTAGGCAGTACTGACCTTGACGGACCAAGGGTCTGATTCAGTAGAAGGCAGCTTCATGCGTGTTCCTGTGTGTGTGAGTGGATGTGGGCTAATGGACCGAAGCGCGATCCCAAAAAGATGGAAGTGCTACTGGTGGATGGAAGGTCTCACCTGGGATTTATGATGTCACCCAGGGTGAATGGGGTTACACTGCCCCTGAAGGGACAAGTCTGTAGTCTGTGGTGCTCTTGGACCCGGGACTACTGTTGGATGAACTTTGACTGGTTAGCCAGTTTTGGCCTTTTCTGGACAGACCAGACCTGGCCACTGTGATGTGCCACGGTTAAATCTAGATTAGATTACTGCGATGCACTCTATAATAGGGTTGACTTGAAAAGTGTATGGAAGCTTCACTTGGTACAGAATCCTGTTGCCAAGATGTTGACTGGAGTGGGTCATAGGAACCCTATCACACCAGTCTTGGTCTATCTACACTACCAATTTATTTGTTTCCAGTTTATTTATTTCTAGATGGCTAGATGGCCATTTGACAGCAATGCTGATTCTGTGAACTTAGGCAGTTCATGAGAAGGGAGGGAGGGTTGCGTCAGTGCTTAGTTCTCATGGCCCTTTCTTTACAAGCCCAGGGAAATGCTGATGGCCACTTTAGGGTCAGGAAGCAAATTTTCTCCAGGCCAGTTTGGCCAGGGATCCTGGAGGTTTTTTGCCCTCTTCTGGGCATAGAGCTGTCGCGCAGTGCGTTGGCAGTTGAACAGGGTACTCAGGAACTTGCAGAATACTCTAGCAGAGTTCTAGCCACCAGCCACTCCCAATAGCTCACCACATAAAGCAGTCCAGTGGTTACTATTTACAGAGATTTTATTTACAGATATATACAGCTCTCAGACAGCATGCTTCGCCAGGCATCCACAAATACAGGGGAGAACACTGAGCATAAGCACACTGTACATATATACATAGCACAGCCAATCAGCAATGTGCTTAGTCATGGTGACTTAGTCCTTGCCCAGACATGTATAAACTGGATAAGTCTGGTACTGCACCACATGACAATCACATGACAACTGTCAGATAGATCAGAGTCATCTAACAGCTGAAGCTTACATTATTGACACTCCCCCTAAGATTCAGCAGTTTCAATCATGCAGAGACCTTCCCTGAACCGTAGGAATTTGTCCTTATCCAAAGCTTTTGTAAATACATCAGCAACGTTTTGATTTGTAGAACAATGTTGCAGAGTTACAAGACCTCTTTGTACTGTATCACGTACATTCTGGTAACGGATATTTATATGCCTGCTCCTTGGCCTGATTCCTTGTGAATCTGCTAATTGCTCAGCTGCGGAGTTGTCACATCTAATAAGCATAGGCATATTACATTTGACATCAAAGTCTTCCAACAATTGTTTCAACCATTCAAGTTGTATTGTACACTCATTAATAGAGGCGAATTCGGATTCACAGCTGCTTAAAGCTACGTACTGTTGTTTAACAGATTTCCAGATAACCATAGAACCACAAACAGTTATAATGTAACCAGTTATGCTTTTGGCATCCGCACTGTTGCCCCAACTGGAATCAGTATAAGCTAGCACCTGCTGTGAGTCATCACACTTCAGTACAAGTTTGTAATGCATTGTGCCCTTTAAATAACGTAAGATTCTTTTAGCTGCATTCCAATCCCTCATTGTTGGATTTGCATTCCTTTGACACAATAAGTTTACAGCATAAGAAATATCAGGGCGAGACCATGTTGATAGGTATATCAAAGAACCCATTAAAGATTGGTACAATGTTTTGTTTTCAAAACTTCCATTTTCTGGTTCTTTTATAAAACCTGTAGACATAGGGGTAGCAACAGGGTATGCATCTTGCATATTGAATGCTTTCAGCAAGTCAACAATTTTTGTTTCCTGACTCAGTTCAAAGAAGCCATCAGTATTTCTACCTATGTCTATACCCAGATAGTGTTTAATTTCACCAAGATGTTTCATTTTGAAATGTTGTTTGGCAGTTTGTTTAAACCATTCTAATTGATCCTCATGATTAAACAAATAACAAAGATCATCAACAAAGATAAGCAGATAAGTTTTGGAGCTTCCTACTGTTTTACAAAACATGCAAGGATCTGCCTTACTTTGTTCAAATCCCATATTTTTCAGAGTTTTGGTTAAACATTGATTCCATAAGAAACCACTTTGTTTAAGACCATAAAGACCCCTTTTCAGTTTGAGCACCTGGTTAGCTTCACCTTGCTCAAAACCTGGTATCTGTTGCATGTACAGCTCTTCCTTTAACTCAGCATTTAAATAAGCTGTTGTGAAATCAAAATGATGCACTTGCATGCTCTCTAAACATGCTTTAACCAAAGCTACATTTAGGGTATGGTTCTTCACTGTGGGTGAAAATGTTTCATCAAAATCTGTTTCCCTTTGTAAAAAGCCTCTAGCCACAATTCTGGCTTTCCTTTGAGGTTTCCCATTCTGTACTGGCTTCAATTTGTACAGCCACCTGCAACCTATTACATGTTTACCCTTAGGCAGATCAGTAACATCAAACACATCATTTTCACATAAAGATTGGTACTCTGCCTCCATGGCTTCCAGTCATGCCTGCTTCTCAAGTTCAGGCATTTTCAACACATCAGTATAACATGTAGGTTCTTGCAGATACACATGGTTAACCACTTGGTCATATCCATACCTTTGTGGAGGTACACCTTTATTGCTTCTATCAGACCTTCTGGGAATGCTTTGCTCTGGTTGAGCACTCTCAGAGCTTTCGGGCTGTATGTTACCAGGTACTGGAACCTCATTCTCAGTTTCCACCTTAACACTAGGAGTAATAGGTAATGCAACCTGTGTAGGCATTGTATTTGCATGAACTCTGTTCCAGTTCTGTCCCTCACAAAATGACGCAGACCTGCTAAAATTGACCTTGTCATGCTCATTTGTGAACCTGTAGGACTTCATGCCTTGCTGATAACCAAGAAACAGCATTTGTTTTGAGCGAACACCTCCCTTTCTCCTCTTATCTAAAGGTACATTGACCCAGGCCTTTGTCCCAAATACACGCAGGTATCTTAGGTCTGGGGGTTTCCCATACAGCATAGCATAAGGGATGTTGTCAATAGCACTTGACCATGTTCTGTTAGTGGTATAACACGCACATTTCAAAGCTTCTGCCCAATACCTGATATGCAGATTGGCATCTGCTAGCATAGCATACATTGTGGTCTGTAACATGGCACCATGGCGTTCTGCCAAGCCATTTTCTTGTGGCGTTCCTGGGTTGGCAACCCTAAGTTTAACACCTTGTTGTTGGAACCATAATTTCATTTGATTAGACATGAATTCCCCACCCATGTCACACTGAAATGCTTTCAGGTTACCAAGCTGGTTTTTGACCCTCTTAAGCCAGTACTTAATGGTACTAAATACATCTGACTTGTGTTTCAGAATATAAGTCCAGCTAAATCTAGACCAATCATCCGTAAGAATCAATGCAAAGCGATTATGGGATATGCTTGGTGGAAATGGGCCTATGACATCGGCATGTATTACCTCAAGAGCATGCTTAGTTTCTCTCATACTCTTCTGAGCCACTGGAAAAGCCTTGCTTTTCACCTGCTTGCAAATCTGACAGTCAAGAAAATTATCACAGTTTTTAACATTCTGCCTGCCTGTTAATGCTAACGTTTTGTTCAGAGCATTGAAACCAATATGTCCCATTCTTCTATGATATAAATGGAGACATTCATTATGTGGGTTTTTGTTACCTGGCACAGAAGCAGAAGATGCTTTAGGAGTGTTTTGCAGCACATAAACACCATCCTTCAGTTCTGCCCTGGCCACATCCCTCCCCCCTCTTGTTATTAGACACATCTCATTAGCAAATGTTAATTCAAACTTTGCCTTATCTAACGTGGCAACACTTAAGAGATTAGACTCAAGAGAGGGAATACACAACACATCTTTGAACGTATAGTCTAGTGCTGGTATTTTAAGTTCTCCTTTGCACAGGACGTTGGCTGTGCGCCCATCAGCCAAACTCACGTGTTTTGTAGTTGTTTGCTGCTTGTTATCCAACAAAGTCTCGTTGCAGCAGAATATTTTCGTGGCTCCTGAATCAATGATTATGTCATTTATGCCCTTGGCAGCATCTGCAGTCACCAACGACGCGTTGGGGCGCTTTGTCAGTTCAAAATGCCCTTGCTGAAGCTGCTTTTTCTTCTGCTCTGGGCAGTTTTTTCTGAGGTGTGTTTTTGCACCACACAAAAAACACTTCCGGACGCGCAATGCTTTCTCACCGACAACAGGAGCGCACCTGGAGTTTGCTGCCTCCCCCGACTTGGTGCTCTGCCAGGCTGTAGAAGAATGTTGCTCCTTTTGCTTATCCTCAAACGCCTGAAGACGGCCGATAACAAAAGGCATGGTAAGCTGTTCGGGCTGTAAATTTTCCAGCGAGGCAATTAAGACGTCAAAACTTGGATTTAATGAGCTGAGAAGAAGCAACACACGGTCTTCCTCAGGCACGACCTTGCCCCGCTCATTTAGCTGTTGATATAGGTCAGTTAAACAATTTATGTGTTCTCTGACACTCTCACCAGGCTTCTGCAGCTTGCGGTAGAGACGTCTCGTCAGCATCATTATAGAACCTGCAGAAGTTTGCACATAAATTTCTTTAAGTGCATTCCAGGCCTGGTGTGCAGAAGTAGACGTAGCAACGTGCACCAGCTGTTCATCGCTGACCGATAGCACGATGATGGCCAAAGCCTTCTCGTCCTTGGATACATCTCCAGCTGGGATAGGGTCTGGCGGGTCATTGGCATACAGCCACAAACTCTCTCTTATCAAAAAATGTTTCATTCGTAGAGCCCACATGGCATAGTTCGAGGAGGTGAGCTTCTCCACCCACTGCTGCGTAGCAACTTGGGCCATTTTCACCGTCTCCCTCGACTCCCCCGAGCTGTTTATTCTTTACCTTCTCTTGAAGATTAATGCCGCTGCCAGAGGCTTGACCGAGCTGTGTATTCCTCCTCCACTCCTGGATGAAGCAATCTCCGCAGCTCTCAGCACTCGGCTCCGTCAGCTTTGCAGACTGTATGGCTGGTCAGCAACCTCGTCAATCACTCCGGCTGGTCCACACTGGGTTCCTGGCCCCGGGTTCAACAGGCTGGGCCCATAACCCTGTCGCGCAGTGCGTTGGCAGTTGAACAGGGTACTCAGGAACTTGCAGAATACTCTAGCAGAGTTCTAGCCACCAGCCACTCCCAATAGCTCACCACATAAAGCAGTCCAGTGGTTACTATTTACAGAGATTTTATTTACAGATATATACAGCTCTCAGACAGCATGCTTCGCCAGGCATCCACAAATACAGGGGAGAACACTGAGCATAAGCACACTGTACATATATACATAGCACAGCCAATCAGCAATGTGCTTAGTCATGGTGACTTAGTCCTTGCCCAGACATGTACAAACTGGATAAGTCTGGTACTGCACCACATGACAATCACATGACAACTGTCAGATAGATCAGAGTCATCTAACAGCTGAAGCTTACATTATTGACAAGAGCAGGGGTCACTGGAGATGTGGAGGGGGGTGATATTTGTGGATTTTCTGCATTGTGCTGGGGGTTGGACTAGATTACCCTGGAGATCCCTTCCAGCTATATGATTCTGTGATGCTATGATTTCTGGTCACAATTCAAGTTGCTGGTCTTGACCTTCAAAGCCCTATGTGGTTTGGGACCAACATGTCTGAAGGACTGTCTAATCCCTTATCAACCTGCCCGAATACTATGGCCATCTTCAGAGGACCTTCTTCCTAGCCGATATTTTTACGTTTTGTACATATTTAAACTCTGTCTCTTATGTATTGTTCTGTATGTAATTTAACTTCATTTTTGTGACTTTTTAACAATTGTTTTAATGATGTGTATTTGGGAGGGGAGTTGATTTTAATAATTTTATGATGTCCTTTTGTCATGTATGTTTTAAATTGTTAGCCACCTTGGAGGCCCTTGTAAGGGCAGAAGGGTTGGATGCAGCTTCTGTAAACTGTAAATAAACAAACAAATTCATCCTGCACCCTCCTGGAATGCCCCTTCCAGAGGGCAGTCTTTGCCTGGCATGATCTCTGCTTTTTCTTTCAGACTGTGGCTTCCTTTGAGGAGGTGGCCGTGTATTTCACCGAGGCAGAGTGGGCCTTGCTAGATCCGGGCCAAAGGGCTCTCTACAGGGAAGTCATGCTGGAGAACTATGGGACTGTGGCCTCTCTGGGTAAAGATCTCTTTGCTTTTTTTGCACAGATACCAAAGGTACAAATTGCTGCTACTGGGGTGATGCATGAATCAAAATATTAGACAGCAATATGTCATTGTGAGGCCAACCTCATGACTCACCCCACTGTGGCCTCCAGGAGTTGGGGTGGCAGCGGCTGCAGTCAGGGTTCCCTCTAAGCTGAGTTAGTGTGAGCTAGCTCACAGTTTTTTAGCCTCCGGCTCACACATTTTTGTCTTCGCTCTGGAAGGATGGCTCCGGAGCAAGCCAATTTGTGCAGTAGCCAAATCATTTGCGTGCAACTTTAATGCCAGGAGCTCACAAAGTAGAATTCTTGCTCAGAAGACTCCACAGCGTAGAGGAGGCATTGGCTGCAGTGTTCGGCATGGTGTGGTGGAGCAACCGAAACTGCCTGGCTGGCCCAGGGGAAACTGAGGCCAGTGTTGTGGCCACTCTCAAAGCCAGGGAGGGGCTGAGAGGTCCTCAGAATTAAAGGGGCCACATCCTAATTTCTCAGTTGCTGAGCTTTAAAACATGCCTTTCCCACTGGGTGGGAATACGGTCATCCACTCTGACTATGATCTGGAATGGATCCGTCCTCCTATACTGGTAGGGATTGTCAGCTTTGAACTTGACCATGTTTCCATCCCTCCAGAAGAATTTTTCCTCTTCCTTGGATTTCTTTCTTTCAGCATATAAGGATTCTCTCTCTCTCTCTCCCCCCACCCTCCACCCCCAAAGCCAGGAACGTAAGAGAGACTATGGAGGAGACAAAGGAAGGCCTTGTGTTTGAAGAAGGGATGGAGAGTTTCTCAAGAGGATCTCAAGAGAGTATTTCCTTCCCAAGTGACATGGCTGCAAGTGAGTATCCTTCATGATTATGTCAAAGGAACGGGCGAAGAATAGCCATGCAGGATTTCTGTATCCCTTCTTCGCAACTCTTGGTTTGGTAGAATTATGAAACCAGGGAGGGGTGTGTGTGTATTAAGTGCCATCAATTGCTTCTGACTTGTGACCCAAAATGTCCTGTCGTTAACAGACTTGCTCAAGTCTTGCAAACCTCTTTTCCTGCTGCCTTCAGCTTTTACTGGCATTATTGTTTTTTTTCCAGGGACTCTTGTTTTCTCATGATGTCACCAAAGGATGATAGCCTCAATATCGTCATCTTAGCTTCTTGAGAGAGTTCAGGCTTGATTTGATCCAGAACCCACTTATTTGTCTTTTTTACTGGTCCACTGTATTTGTAAAACTCTCCTTCGACACCAAATTTCAAATGAATCGACTTTCTTCCTGTCAACATTCTTCATTGTCCATACACTCTTTCTCAGCCTAACCTATCTCACAGGGGTTTTGTTGTGAGGAAAAAATAGAGGAGGAGATAACAGTGTTGGCACTTTGGGTCCCCATTGAGGAAAATAGGGCATAAATATCTAAATAAGTAGGCAGTACTTTTTCTCCAAAGTCATTCTTGCTATCCATCTTGATCTGTTTCCACAGGAGGTGTGTGTAAGACCGAGGAGGAGGAGGAAACAAACAGGGTGGCTGTGGAAAGACTCAAGTACCTAGTGGTTGAAAACAGTTCTAGGAATCAGTATGAACGACAGGGGGAGCAGAGGAAGGAAGTTAAACACAAAGAAAACTGGATGGCTTCATCAGTTGCTAGTCAAGGTACAAACCTTCATGAAATGTTTATCTTCCCTGAAATACAGATGAAAAACAGAACATATAAGTGCTCCTTGTGTGAAAAGAGTTTTAATTTTAAATCAAAATTTGAGATACATCAGAGAGTCCATACAGGAGAGAAACCTTATACATGCCTTGAGTGTGGAAGGGGCTTTAGAAGGAGTGATCAGCTTAATTTACATCGAAGAACCCACACAGGGGAGAAACCTTATAAATGCTTGAAGTGCGGAAAGAGCTTCCAGGATAGTGACAAACTTACTAGGCATCAAAGAATACACACAGGAGAAAAACCTTATAAATGCCTGGATTGTGGAAACTGCTTTAGTAGGAATGAACAGCTCCATTTACATAAAAGAATCCACACAGGAGAGAAACCTTACACATGCTTGGAGTGTGGAAAGGGCTTCCGAGATCGTGGCAGCCTTGGTAAGCATCAAAGAATCCACACAGGAGAGAAACCTTATAAATGCTTGGAGTGTGGAAAAGGTTTCCGTGATGGGAGCGGTCTTAGTAAGCATCAAAGAATTCACTCTGGAGAGAAACCTTATAAGTGCATGCAGTGTGGTAAAGGCTTCCGTGATGGTGACAAACTTGTCATGCATCAAAGAATCCATACAGGAGAGAAGCCATACAAATGCCTGGAGTGTGGAAAGGGATTCTGTGGTGGCGGAGGCCTTACTAAGCATAAAAAAGTTCACACAGGACAGAAATCTTATCAGTGCTTACAGTGTGGGAAGAGCTACTATGATGCTGGCAGCCTTGTTAAGCATCAAAGAGTTCACTCTGGGGAGAAACCTTTTGAATGTCTGGAGTGTGGGAAAAGCTTCTCTGACAGTGGTAAACTTATTAGACATCAGAGAATCCACACAGGAGAGAAACCACATAAATGCATGGAATGTGGAAAGGGCTTCTGTGACGGTGCCAAACTTGCTAGACATCAAAGGACCCACACAGGGGAGAAACCTTATAAATGCCTGGAGTGTACAAAGAGCTTTTTCCAGAGTGATCACCTTACGAATCATAAAAAAATCCACAAGGTAGCGAAACTGTATAAATGTTTGGAAGATGGTACGAACTTCAGCCTTATTCAACAGCAGAAAATACATACAAGAGAGAAACCGTACAAATGCTTTGACTGTGGAAAAGGGTTCTATGATACTGAGAAACTTACTCAGCATTTAAGAATTCACACAGAAAAGAGACCTTATGACTGTCCAGAGTGTGGAAAGAGCTTTTTTCGAAGTGACCATCTTATAAACCATCAAAAAATTCATACAGGAGAGAAGCCTTATAAATGCATGGTTTGTGAAGCAGCCTTCAGTAACAGTGGCAGCCTTACAAAGCATCAAAGAACCCACACAGGGGAGAAACCTTATAAATGCCTGGAATGTGGAAAGGGCTTCAATGACAGTGGCAATCTTACTAAGCATCACAGAACTCACACACGAGAGGTGCCCAGCATACTACGAACATGGGAACAACTTCAGCTGGATCTCAAACCTTACTTTCCATCATAGAATTTAGGTCTGGGTTGGGGGTAGCTGTAAAAATGTTTGTAATATAGCTGAAATATCAGGGACATGTTTGAACTGTTTGAACATCATAGAATCCACATGGGAAATAAAAAATTTCCATGACCCTTTTCTCTAAGGGCCAAACTAGACATGCAAGTTTTTGAAAACTTAGGTCTGAGTTCCTCGGAGCTGTTATAGGAGAAACTGTTTGGCCTTGGAATACTGCTACAAGGGATGGAAGGGTTTCTGCCTCTCCCTCCAAGTCATTTTCCCACTCTGAAATAGTGCTGGGCAGAGTTACTTCTCCATTTTTGCAGCTCTGTGCTGTTTCAGTGCTGGAAAACATCTGGTGAGAGAGGCAGAACCTCTTCCTCCTCCCAGGGCTGAGTTCCAAAGCCAAATATTCTTTATTTTTTAACAGCAGTTCCCTGCAGCTGCTGTGTGGCTGCGGGGAACCTGAGGTGGTTAACCTGGACCAACTCATTAAAAGCCCCCATGTCTAGTTTGGCCCTGAGACTGAGCAGTGAGAACCACCATATAATTAGTCACCACACGTGACTATCTCAGCAAGCAAACTTTATCAACAGGGCTTCAGGCACGTGGTGTTTTATATTTTGGTCTACTATTGCTGATTAGTGGATGTTAATAAACTGTGTTGATTTTGTAAATCGAGCCATTGTGCCTGGTGTGACAGCATCCTGTAATTACAGGGGCGTTTAGGAGTGTACTGTTAGACCTCCCTTTTCCCCCTCTGAGGTAATATTCTATGATACTGCAAGTAAGTCTCAGTTTCAAGGGCTATAGAATTGTGGGTTCCTTAATGTGATCTTTAGCTTGGAGAAACGACGACTGAGGGGTGACACCATCGAGGTTTATAAGATTAGGCATGGGATAGAGGAGGTAGGGGAAAGTACTTTTCTCCCTTTTTCACAATGCAAGAACTCGTGGGCACGCCATGAAATTAAGGAGGAGTAGGCTTAGAACAGATCAAAGGAAGTCCTTCTTCACCCAAGGAGTAATTAACACGTGCAAATCACTGCCACAGGAGGGGGCGGCGGCTACAAGCATGGACGGCTTCAAGAGGGAATTGGATAAGCATATGGAGCAGAAGTCCATCGGTGGCTATTAGCCACAAGGTATAGATGGGAACTCTCAGTTTGGGGCAAGGGATGCTCTGTATTCTTGGTGCTTGGGAGGAGACTGGCAACAGCTTGTCTGGAGTGTGGGCAGTATGGCATTGTATCTGTCTGAGGTCCCCCTCTTCCTCTTCCTCCTCAGACCCCACCCTCAGCAGGCTTCATCCCTAAAATATCCTGGAAGTTTCCAACCTGGAGTTGGCAACCCTATGTCCTTTCCTGGCAACCATCAGCCAACCTTTATCTGCCTGTCTGTCTTAAATTTTACAAACCCCCCCCCACAGCCTCTGCCTAGGGAAAGGGCAGCTGACATCATTATCCTCTCCCCTATGAGGTATGTTATGCAACTGAAAATTCCAACTGCCTTGCGGGGGGGGGGAGTTTGAGGTGTGGAATGGAGTGAAGTCCAATCAGCTTCCACATGCAAAAGACCTTGAAACGCTGGGCGGGACTGCACAAAGCAGCCAGTCAACCCAGCCAGCGTCTTCTGAATGGCAGTTCTTCCAGCCAAACACTAAAGGGGCCAAATTTAGAACGTTCAATATAGAACGTTGCTATTCAATTATAATAAGGGAGAGATATGCTGATTCCCCCCTCCTCCTTGGGGACCCAAAGTGGCTTACAGTAGAAAAACACAATGTGGGGGGCAGGAATGTGCACTACAGATCTTCCTCTAGTTGACGCACCAGTTCTGTCCTTGAGATTTATTTATTTATTTATTTGACTTGCATCCCGCCCTCCCTGCAAAGCAGTCTTAGGGCGGCTTACAAAACTGTATTAAAACACTAAAACTAGAAGATTAATGAAACCACAACAATACAATCCTAAATATAATACATTATAAAGTGCTAGTACAGGTGGCTCAAATGGTTAAGATGCTGAACTGCAGACCGGAAGGTTGGCAGTTCGGCAGTTCGAGACCCGGGTGCCGCTTGATGGAGTGAGCTTCCGTCTCTGGCCCCAGCTCCTGCCAGCCTAGCAGTTTGAAAACAAGAAATTGCAAGTAGATAAATAGGTACCGCTTTGGTGGGAAGGTAACAGCGTTGCGTGCGCCTTGGCGTCTATTCATGGCAGCCACATGACCTGTCTTCGGACAGTGCTGGCTCTTCAGCTTGGAAACGGAGATGAGCACCACACCCCTAGAGTCGGATTCGACTGGCTTTCGAGCAAGGGACAGCATACTCTGTGTTGTGTCCGGCTGTTGGTATACTACGGCTGCGGTCACACAGAGCAGTAGCCACGCTACCGCGACGGAAGATAAGTGGATTTTCCAGGCGCGATCTCACCGCCCCATCTGGGAAGCGTAGAGCTCCCGTGGCAAACCTGAGGCTTCCCTCCGAAGATGTGGGTTAAAAACTAGTACCTCCGAGGTACTAGTTTCCGGAAACCGCGGGGCAAGGGCGGGCGTCTGATCGCGTTTCCGGTGGCATCCGACGCCCGCCCATGCCCCATTGCGAAAAGGGGTTTTTTCCCCGAAGTCTCCAGGGATGCGCACAAGCACCCAACGGGGCATGCACATACTTCAGGTAAAAAACAAACAAACATAACCCCATTTGCCGTGCCGCGCCGCTTCTTTGCCGCGTCGTGTGATCCGCACCTCCCCCCTAACCACAGGACCTCGACGGGACCGCGAGGGGACGCCTGATAGCGCAGTCATGCGTTATTTCGCTGCGGGGCAAACAGCCACGCCTCCCCCCCGCGATATCCGGCCCGTGTGACTGGGGCCTACTATTGGTATTGATGCTACTATTGACATTGGTGTTGGGGCCAGGGCCTCGCTCTGAATGGTGCGGCTCCCTAATCAAAAGCCTGGTGGAAGAGCTCCGTCTTGCAGGCCCTGCAGAACTGTAAAAGGTCCTGCAGGGCCCTGATGTCCTCCGGGAGTTCATTCCACCAGTGTGGAGCCGCCACAGAGAAGGCCCTGGCTCTTGTCACAGCGAGTCTGGCTCCCTTGGGGCAAGGAAGGGCCAGATGGTTTTGGGACCCCGATCATAGTGCTCTCTGGGGGACCTGTGGGGAAAGGCAGTCCCTTAGGTATGCAGGCCCCTGACCATATAGGACAGTAATGGTTCAAAACAGTGGTTCAGATCCAGTGGTAGACTTCCACTAATAGAAGCAGTTAATTCCAGAAGCAACTTGAGGAGGATGGGATGCTGATGTTAGCCCTTAGAGAGGTGCATTGGTTGAACTAGCCAGTTTCAGCTGGTGCCTCAGCTGTGTCCGTTCCCGGGTCAGTCTGATCTAGCCACAGTGATCCATGCCTTAGTTACATCTAGGCTCAAGCTACTGCAGTGCACTCTACTTGGGGCTATCCTTGAAGAGTGTTTGGAATGCAGAATGCTTTGGCTGGATTGTTGGTCAGGGCCAGCTACTGGGAGCACATGACCCTGATATTACAGAGATGACAGTAGCTACTGATCCACTCCTGAGTCCAATTCAAAGGGTTGTTTTTGACTTTTAAAGCATGACATGGCTCAGGATTTGGGTATCTCAACGACTGTCTTCTCCCATATATTCCTGCCTGGGAATTAAGATCACTGGGAGATGCCCTCTTGACTGTCCCATCAATCGAAGAAGCTCATTTGGTGGGCAAACAAGAAAGAGCCTTTTTGGTGGCAGCCCCACGATTATGGAAAAACCTCTCTGGAAGGTGGACCTGGCCCCCTCATTTTCTGTTTAGCAGGCAATTGAAGATGGCTTAATTTAGGATTGTGTGTGATTAAAGCAGTACTAAACTGTGATTTTAAATTTTGGTTTTGTATATTTTATGGACTCTGATTTTTTATATTGTAAGCTGCCTTGAACTCCATTAGGAAGAAAGGCAGCAAATAAATGTTTTAAATAAATACACTGCTAAGGAAGACTGATCATGGTCTGGCTGGGAAATACATGGAGAGAGAGAGAGAGAGAGAGAGAGAGAGAGAGAGAGAGAACTCTGCCTATCTAAAACCATTATGCTTCTTGAGTTGCCAACCTCCAGGTTGCACCTGGGGACCTCCTGCTATTGCAATTGATCTTCAGACAACCAAGATCAGTTTCCCTGGAGAAAATGGCTCTATGGCGCTATACCCTGCTGATGTCCCTCCCCTCCCCCAAACCCCACCCTCGCCAGGCTCCACCCCCAAAATCTCCAGATATTTCCCACCCGAGAGCTGGTAGTCCTACTTGTCACCTTTACCGCAACCATCCCACCCTTATATTTCTAAATAAACTCTATTAGTTTTTAAGAGAAAACAGCTGTTTTATTTAGAGTAAGGGATTCCCCCTTTACCTCAGAGCCATCTCCAAGTGCTGACCGTCCTGTCATTCTACCAAATATAAATTAACCTTTAGTTGGATCCAACTAAAATTCTAAGGCAAGAACCTTTGGTGGCGGCAATTTAAAAAAAATCGATTTAGGAAAGAGATGAGTAAGGGAGGGGACATGAAAGTGGTTTATAAAATTTTTCATGGGGGTGAGAAAGTTGACAAGAACTTTTTCTCTCTCTCCCCAAATACTACAACTTGAGAACATGGGAAAGACATGAAGATTTTGGGAGTGGAACTTGAGGAGGGCAGGGTTTGGGAAGGAGAGGGACTTTAATGGATATCATGCCATGGAAGCCCAACTTCCAAAGCTGCCAGTTTCTCCAGGTGAACTGATCGCTGTTGCCTGGAGATCAGTTGTAATACCAGATCTCCAGCCATCCCCCTGGCAACACTGGCTCCTAATAACCAACCAGAGATTATTTTTTTATGTATTTAATTCATTTATACCCAACCCAAAGTGGCTTAGA